ATACACACACACACACACACAGATAGATAATATATATATGTCTGGACACCTGGCGGGCAAGTGGCTGAAGATGAAGACAACAGGAAATGTTTTGTCCTTGCTTGATGTCCTAGTCGGGACCTGTGAGGGTGGAGTCACCCGGTGTCCTCGTCGGGACCTGTGAGGGTGGAGTGACCCGGTGTCCACGTCGGGACCTGTGAGGGTGGAGTCACCCGGTGTCCACGTCGGGACCTGTGAGGGTGGAGTCACCCGGTGTCCTCGTCGTGACCTGTGAGGATGGAGTCACCTGGTGTCCACGTCGGGACCTGTGAGGATGGAGTCACCCGGTGTCCACGTCGGGACCTGTGAGGATGGAGTCACCCGGTGTCCTCGTCGGGACCTGTGAGGGTGGAGTCACCCGGTGTCCACGTCGGGACCTGTGAGGGTGCGAGAGTTACTGGCTCCCCTTCTTGTGTGTCTACTGACCCGCCTCTGGGCTGTAGCGGTTAGCCACTTTGCCGTTGAACGCAGGAGACCCGAGTTGACTTTCCGAAGAAAGGGAAGAAGTTTTGTCGAGTTTCTTAGGCTTTCTGCTGGGATGTCCTGGACAGGTGGAAGTCTCGTCTCCGAAATGATGGAAATTGTGTCGCTGACGGAGGAAACACCAACAAAAGACAAAAATATTGTGTGTGCCGAGGTGAGACTGCCGCAAGGTGGCCGAGGTGAGACTGCCGCAAGGTGGCCGAGGTGAGACTGCCGCAAGGTGGCCGAGGTGAGACTGCCGCAAGGTGGCCGAGGTGAGACAAGTGTTGGCCTCAGACTGGTCATCTGTGTAGAGACACTGACAGATAGAGGCTCTTTGAGCCTAATTTGGTTCTTGAGGTTTGATGAAATAAGTCAAACTTGTGCAGGATTGTCGCTCATTGTCAGAAAAGTAAGTGATTGTCTTAGACAAGTGGACGGCTTTGTTGGTGTCATCTTAATAGGAACAAAACAGGGAGGAGTGGGAGGTGGTAGTTTGTGCTGGTGGTTGTCTTAGACAAGTGGACGGCTTTGTTGGTGATTGCCACAGAGCAGGTTTTGACTGTGTGTGAAATAGTTTTGTATGAAATAGTTTTGTGCAAATTGTGAAGGGAAGTAACCTGTTGTATTTTGTCTACCGTCTGATGATGTGTTGTGTCTGTGCTACACGTTTTTCCACGCAAATCCCGTCTCTGGCCGCCATCGACTCTCGCTTTTTCTGAAATCAAAATTGTGTTGGTGACGTTGATGGTCTAGTGGTTAGGCTCTTGGGTTTTCAACCGTAAGTTGGTGGTTTGAATCCTATCCAGGGGCCACCCCCCGGGGCGGTGCCACTGACTGTAGTGTCTTTAGGCCATTCCCAAAGGGGGGACATTTCTCGTTCAGGCATAGTAGAATTGTAAATGGGCTGATTCATGTCACGCTTATAACTGTGCCTGATCTACAACAGGGAACTGCTGCTTTTTCTTTCCTAATCCTTACTATCATCAATTTGCGCTACTTCTTTTGTATGTTTGTCACTCTCTTCTGACCCGCTATTTCGGTGTGCTTTGATAGTCGAAGCAGACTTTGTGCTGTTGAAGCTAGAGAGGTGAGCAGAGTAAGCCTGATTCCCTGTAAGGACTTCTCAGTTGACATCCACCCCTTGGCGCTCATATGACTTGATGCAGTTGCGAGCGCCGTAAAACCTCTACTAAAACTAGCTAACTATCCAGGGACCCAATGTTTTGTCCTTGGGAAAGGCATTTTACACCAATTTTCCTCACTGTAAAACTCTTGGCCTAAACTATATGACTTCTGTGTGTGGCAAGTGCTGTAAAACTCTTGGCCTAAACTAGACTAGGTGCTGATCATCATTGACAGACAAACTGTGAAATGTTATTATTTTATTTTTTTGGTCATTGTTATTGTTGTTATTATTGTTGTTGTTTTTATTTGTTATTGTTATTGTTATGATTGGTATTGTTGTTGATATTGTTATTGTTATTTTTGTTTTTGTATTATTGTTATTGTTATTAGTGAAAAAGAAGTTGGTTGAGCAGAGGAGAAAGTCTTGCGTGTAGTTTTGTGCCAGAGTCGGCTGATTGGACAAACGTGGGAAGTGGACGGCTGGTGTTGCTGTCATCTCTTTATCACACGTGTACAAGTTGTTCATATTTGTGTGTTGCGTCGGTGGCCTAGGCTACTGGACTCGTAATCGTGAGGTTGCGGGTTCGGGGGTTTGAGCCGCGGGCCCGACGTTGTGTCCTTGGGAAAGACACTTTACACGAATTTTCCTCACTTCACCCAGGTGGGAATGGGTACCCGGCCATGGACAGCGGAAGATCTTGTCAGTATGTTAGTGTTTTAGCGCCTATAAATTATTAAATGGCTGCTTGCACTGTATGCTTCCCAGGAAGTTGAAGTTATTTCAGAATGCTCTCAGGTCTGCTGGGGTAATAGTATAGATTGTGAAGTGCAGAGAGCTTGCTGTTGAGCGGGGATTTGCGCTATACAAATGTTATCTATTATTATTGTAGTTATTGTCTACTTGTTTCCCTATTTGTCTGTGAGGATGAAAAGCTAGAAAATGAATTAATTGACCAGTGGAGGAGAATTGGTTTTGTAAAAATTGGTTTTGTAAAAAAACCAAGGCTGGTACTGTATTGTCTTTGTTGTTTACAGTACATGGGTTACGACATGTCTGATAATAATAAATCCGTTTATACTATCATGTATTGTGTTTTAAATTATTTTGACTTTAGTTTCGTGCATGTATTATAATATTTTATGCATGATTCACGAACTGTGAAGTAAGGTTTCTATTTACCTTTGTGTATAACCAAAGCTGCCAGTGATGAGGTCATGAGCTTTGTATGCACAAGGGTTAACAAGGCTGTTCTAAATTCTCCCCATCGTTGCTGATCTTTTCTGACACAGGGCTGGCATTGTAAGAACAAGGGAAAATATCTTATTGCATAATATATTACAATATAAATATAGATCTGGACCAGCAAAGTTCAAATGACCAGCCAGTTGGACAAGAGGATCCATTCAAGAGTCAGACTCAGAGTGAGGATTGGAAAAAAGTCGTGGATTGTTTTCCCTTCTTTATTTTTAGTCAGGCTAATATTTACATGTTTGTGGCCAAGACTGAAGAATACCAAGACGGGACAACAGGCCTCATTTCCGGTCGAACCGGCTCCCCTTTGTACCAGCGACCAGCGGTCTAACCGGCTCCCCTTTGTACCAGCGACCAGCGGTCTAACCGGCTCCCCTTTGTACCAGCGACCAGCGGTCTAACCGGCTCCCC